TATATATACTGTATGAACATTCAACTATTTTGAGGAGGGATGTTTCCTATTCTCCTGTTATTTTCCTTATACGAAAGCAATTAGTCTTAGATGCAATGCTTTGCCCAAAAGTTTGTAATATACATATCTATAGATCATGCATCAGAATGTGTGACTGTGCACATGTGTGTGTATATATGCACATGTGTATTGTGACAACAGGTTATGTAGCTCCACAATTCTCCCATTCAGTGACAATAAATAATATTCCATAAGCAGTAAATCCGGACAGAAACCAAGGTATGAGCCAAATTTACCATTGTTCATTCACTGACAGTATTTGCTAACAATTTCTCTATTTGTTTAAAGAATGTTTTCTTCGGTTAAAATTCAGCTCATTAATAATATTATGTAAAAGTCTTAATTTGGAAACATAGACACCCCTGGTGGACTAAATCTACATTGAAATGATCACATGTATTCAACAAAAGGTCTCAGAATTATAACAGACAGTCCTATTTTTTATTTCCTACAATGGAACATTTTTAAAATTTATTTAGACCACACCAGCATTTTTGTATTTTTTCATCTAATACCTTTGCATATTTTTTTTCATATTGAGAAAGAAGATAAACTTTGAAGTTTCTTTTATATTAAAAGGACACAAAATAAGCTTATAGGGAACAATAACACCAGCGCCCATCTTCCTGCCACTGGTCACGTGACCACCAACAGCATGTCTGGTTTCTTTGGGCCCTAACGTTTTTCTCAGTCATTACAGGTTGTTGTTGCCAGTGTTGCATTTTCCCGTGTGATGTCTTGGGAATAGGCCATTCATGAGAGCAGTTTAATTACCGTGTCTTCCACTCTGTTCAAACCCTGAATCAAGGCTCATATCTGATTCTAATTTACTTAGAAAAAAAAAAAAAGCACGTATAGTCATTTGCAAGTATAATGTTACAACTTCTGTGTTTGTCTCCTCTGGCATAGAAGGTGAGAAAGAAGAGGCCCTCCATATTGTTAAGGGGTGCTGCTGAGGAAGTCTGTACGGCTCTTCTGTTTTCTTATATTGTAACTAACTGATTTCTACAAAAAGAGACTTGAAGTGGCTGGGCTATTAATCCTTGTGACACCATCCACTTAAGACCTTGATCTGTGTTGAACCCAAAGTGAGCCTGTTGGCATTTAAGGGCCCAGGGGCGGCATCTTGTTTAGTCCTGTGAGCAGATGATGGAGGACTTAGGTAGGGCTGGAGGAATCCTTGCTTAAGTCTCCCAAGTCCTTTGGACTGTGTTTTAAAAAACATTTTTAAGCAACAAGATTATTTTTTTTCCAAATTATTTTTATGGGACATTTTCTATCTGACATAACTATGAAGGTGTAATGGCAGGATCTGGAAATTGAGGTCCTGGAGCCCCACTGTTTGGCCACTGGGACCATGGAGGCACCTCCCAAAACTCTACAGAGCCTCCACGCATGACTGAAGCCACTGACCTAACCCAGTAAGGGCTTACTGAACACCTGAGTGACCTGGAAGGTGTGTAGTGTTAGGATCTGACCTGCAAGCGTAGCTTCAAAGACTGTGGGAGGGGAGGAAAAGCTAGCATCATACACACTTCTGCCAACTGAAGAATGAAAGTAGGTTCACCTCTCAGTGCAAGGAAAATGTTTGATCCTTTTAATGCTTAACGTTATCTTAGACAATAGGCACCTTTTATGATGATAACGTATGCTGCAGGATCCTGATGCTTACCTTGATTTCTAAAGAATCTAATTTTAAGAAATACCACGAGTACATGAATACCATGCTTCCAAAATCCAAGCAGGTCACTAAAATATAGAAGTTTAAACATTATTGTTATCTTGCCTTGATTCAGTCACCCCATTAAGATACTATCGACTTATTTGATGATTCCAAACATGATATTGTATTGTATTTTTATGATTATTGGAAGTCTGTTCACTGCTGCTTTGTAATAGTTTATTAATTGTGTAGCCATTACTACTTAATATGAATCCACTGGGCAAAGGTAGTCATTTATTTTCATTCTTGCAGTAGGGGAAGAGGAACCTCATTTATTCTACTTTTTTTCTGCCATTACTGATTTTGTAAGCATTTCAGTATGAATAATTTGTCCTCTTTTATCACTCAGTGTATTAAAAAAGAAAGTAATTGAACATTGGGGAAGAGAAAAAGCAATAATACATTATTACTATAGGACACACTATGGTAAGGTACTGTAGTGGTGCCTTAGACTGTGTTATGTTGAAATGGTTTGTATGTTTGTTGCTCAGCAAATCTCAAATGTTGGCCTTGAAGGTGGTTTTTAAATTTAAAATGTTGAATATGAGTACAAAATTTCAATATAAGATAGTAAGCTTAAGGGCTTACCATCAAATGCTATGTGATGAAAGAAACCAACCCAAACTGTTGTCAATGCTCTGAATATTTCTCATGGAAGAGTTTAGAGAAGGAATCCTCCGTTGTGCTCCCCTTTGCTGAAAAGACAGGAAACCTTTCCCACGCAAGTCTATTGTCGTTGAAAGAAGTTTCGCAGTACTTGATGCCACGATGCCACCACTTGATCAGGGCGTGAGGTTTTGGAAAGGTTTAAGGCAAAAAGCTGTCATCGTTGTTAAGTCTGGGTGATTTCATCCGGCAGTGATTTGATGTCTGACAGGTCACTCAACTGAGGAATGTCTACCGTCCATATGGATGGGTTTCATGGTGGCACCTGAAGCACATTTTAAAAATATTATGATGTTACTCTATTGTCTCGCTGAACTCTTCATCATAACACTACCTCAAGACAAATGACAGTCTGTTTGTCAAGGTAAATTGGGTCTCCAGGGTAAGAAAGAAAAGGAGTCTTACAAATAGAAGTCATCAAACTATTCAATAGTCAAGAGACTATATTGGCCATAGATAGTGTCGATGGCCCCTTGACAACACAGTAATACAGATATTTCAGTCACTGGGGATGAATGACGTAGTTAACACCCAATGGGTTATGAGAAGGGATTTAAAGCTGCAACAATTGAAAATAGTTCTCTTTAAGATTGGTTTTCTACATGGACCACTTTTATGTCCATTCATCCAAAGCCACAGATTTGCCCACCCTAAAGAGTGAAAGGGTTAAAACACCCAATTCCTATGCCAGAATGGCAGACGGAATATTCGAGTATTTTTGGCATTGAATGCCTGCTAAATTTTTGTTCATTATATATCAATTTGATGTACGTTGTTACCCAGTTAATTTTTCTTGGGGATTTTGTAAACACCATGGTATATTAGGATACATTTTTGCAGGTCAAAAGAGTTCAAGTAGTTTTTAGACAAAACATATCCACGAGTGTGAAGAAGCTGTGTTGAAGAATAGTTCCCATTACACATTTACCAGCGGGTCAGTAAAAAATAGTGCTTATTTACATAGTCCACATAATTTAATGTTCTAAAAATAATTTCTCCAATCTGCCCAACACTTAATGTATCACTTGAGATTTTAAAATATGCAGCCACTCCTTTCTGTAAACACGAAGATATGCCTGTGTTTCTTTAACTATATAGCCTTTCTTTACAATAAATTTCTTGACTTTTGTGCACAAAATAGTATTGCAACCTGCTCTGTAGCCTTTGGTGCCTTAGAGTTATTATAAATATTTAACAATATGTACATACTGTAAATACTGCCAAGAGATCCTAAGGCCAAATATTTTCTCTATTCACTTTTTATTGCACTTGCTTTCTATTGCTACGTAAGCCTCTTTTATCCAGCTTTGTAATAGTCCTAACATTGTAGCCAATGTAAATGTTTACTTTCAATAAATCTGAATTTGTTCAACACGCACGGTATATGTGGGCAGTACTTTGAAAACCCTCTCAGGCTCGGTTAGGTCCTCCTCAGGATGAATCTTGCTTCTGGGGACCAGATACATGACGTTCCGGACAAACTCTAACAATGAGGTTGCCCCGTTTGCTTATAAAAATACCTTTAAAATCAGAGGGAGTAAAAGAAAAATACCTTTTTTGCCAGTTTTCTCCAAATAGTTGCTATAGATTTATTGATCGCGTGAGTACCATTTTAATTTCAGATTATGCCAAGAAACACAGGATTGAAAAGAAAGATTTTTGTATTGTGTCAGCGCTCTCACAAACGCCTTGGCAGAATATCTAAAGGAGCTTTTCAAAGGAGCCTCCTGAATTTTCTAAGCGTTTCTGACTTGGTTAGTAATTGGGGAATGATTTTTAATGCAGCTCACTAACTGAATAAGACATTGGTCCATAACTAAATATAGCTCTCTGAACACATACATAGTGAATGCTTATGGGGAGCTAAGTTTATTGTCATAAATAAAGTAATTTTTTACTTCTGTTACATTTCCAGCGAGGAAACCAGAGGTAGCAAATGCCTGTTTGTGAGACTTGATTTCAGTTATTCCAGAAATGCTTGTTAAAGGTCTAGTTAGTCTAGGGCAGTGGTTCTCAACCTGTGGGTCGCGACCGTTCTGGGGGTCGAACAACCCTTTCACAGGGGTCGCCTAAGACCATCAGAAAACACATATATGATCACATACTGTTTTTGTGATTAATCACTATGCTTTAATTATGTTCAATTTGTAACCATGAAAATACATCCTGCATATCAGATATTTGCATTATGATTCATAACAGTAGCAAAATTACAGTTATGAAGTAGCAACGGAAAAAATTTTATGGTTGGGGGTCACCACAACATGAGGAACTGTATTAAAGGGTCGCGGCATCAGGAAGGTTGAGAACCACTGGTCTAGGGACTCTATTCCTTACATAGAGATGATTCATC